TCTCCTTGGAAGCTTTGTTTACAGTTGAACAGGTATAGGCAGATCTGAGGACTAGGCCCTAGTAACAAGCGTTGCCATCTCTGCAGATGTCTTACTATTGTTGGATCAAGAGAACAAAAAAAAAAAAATCTCCTGGCGAGACCAGCCTGCAAAAGATTATACTACACGTTATCAAAGTGTTGCTACTTAAAAAGGCCGACTATCTTATGTGCCATGAGCCAATAAAAAATGGCAAATAAATGCCCTGAGTTGCTGCTCAGATTTTGGCTCCTTTCCTAAAAAAGCAAGAATTAAAAACATGCCAAGAATAATGTTGACTTTAGAGAGAACTTAGACTTTTATCCTAAAATAACCCAATGGGACCAATGCTACTGTACTTTATTTGTAAAAGGTCAAATAAATATAATATCATGAATTACCCATAGTTACCATTATACGTGCACCTGTTTTTAATATGTGTAGTACATTGGAAAAAAAAAAAGATCTGAAGCTTTTCAGACATTCTGATATATAAATCTTATTGCTAGATTATTGCAGCTAACAAGCATAGCTGGGACTTTGCATTTCTGCAGGAACATAATATTTGATTGAATTAGATTATTTGAAAAGAGATAAAAATACAGTACTGATACACAAAGAACACGATTTAAGGAATATGTAAACCTAACATTTCATATTCTCGATATGTACCTGTATGAAGAATTATCCTGTTCTCTTTGTATTGCTTCCTTTGTGTGAAATGCCTGGTGTTCTTGCCAGTCCCTTTATTTTCCTATTATAAACTGACCACGCTAGGCATGAGAGCACAGCATATTCAGAGGTCTAGCTGTGCTGAGAACTCAGCCTGCTCACATGCCCCCCCCCCCCCCCCCCACACACACACACACAGCCATTCACTAGGAAGGTCAGTGTGCTGCTGTTTCTCCTCCCCAGCTCCATATACAGCTGAGAACAGAGGATATTTGATCACTTATATAGAAAGGGGAAAAAATAAATAATATATATATATATTTATGTATATATAATAAAAAATTATATATATTATATATATAGATATATATATATATATATATATATATATACATTTTTTAATATCTATACACAAATGTTTTGCCTTTCATTTCTCTCTAAACTGAATGGGTTGATTTACATGATGAGGTTTTATATATACTTTAAAACAAATACACCAGTAACAAGATTTCCATCTGATGAGCAGGAGGTTATGTATTCACTAGGAAGGTCAATGGTAAATGTACTGCTGTTTCTCCTCCCCAGCTCCGTATACAGCTGAGAACAGAGGATATGTGATTACTTATATAAAAAGGGGAAAAAAATATATATAATTATATATAATAAATAATGTAATATTATATATATATATTTATAATTATATATATATATATATATATATATACATTTATAATTTTATACTATATATATATAATTATATATATATATATTTTTTTTTTTTTTTTAAATATCTATACACAAATGTTTTGCCTTTTTTTCTCTCTTAAACTGAATGGGTTGTTTTCCATGGTGAGGTTTTACATATACTTTAAAAACAAATGCACCAGTAACAAGATTTCCATCTTCTGATCATAAGGGTATGTATTCTAAAATACAATTTAAATGGATGTTTGCGTTGATTACCTTCAGGTCTGATTTCAGTATATTTATAATAAACACAATATATTTTTTTCTAAAATGCTGCTCATAATTTTCCACAGTGGCTTTCCCCTTCTTGGTGTGCTCAATTCTAGAGTGCTCAAAAATGGTCCCATAAAGCAAGACAAAGAAAAACCGTACAATGCAAAGTGACGTATCCATAAAATCAAATCATATATCACCATAAGTGGGATAAACATAGGTGGGAAGATGTCTCACTGAGAATGACAGTTGGTAATACATTTATCTGTCCGTCCTCCACTCCAGAGTGCATCTTGTAACACTGATAATGAGAAGAAGTGTATGCACTAGTTACACCATCACTGGAGAGATCAGTGCTTATAGGGCAGAGGGTTTCTAGCTAGTTACATAATAAATACACAAATCCAGTGTTCAGAAGCAGTAGTTATCACCCCTGAAGAAGCAATTACAGGTGAGGCTAAAATCACATCAGAGTTGCTCAGCCAGTGTTCTCTAGAGCCCTAGTGTTCCTCCAGAGGTTGCTTGGGGTTCCTTGAGCAATGAGCAACGTCTACCTCTCAGATAAGTAACCAATGACTTCAATGATCTTATTAGCTATCTGTAAGGGTGGAGGTGGTGTAGGGTGGGGATGCTTCCAAATACTAATAAATGTATAGAGCATTCTTCCCAGTGACCCTCACACCAATGTATTGTTAGCTTTACATATAACAATTATTAGCTGAGCACGGAAAGTTATTTTAAGAGTTCCTCCCATGTTAAAATGATTGAGAAAGGCTGGTTTAAACAATAATGACAGATAGATATGACTGTAAGAATTAGTAAGACTGGCTCTGTAGGGGCCCTAATGCACTGTGTGTTTTTACTATTCTAAATCTTTTTTCTTTTGCCCCTCCATTATTTGGACTGGCATTTCCACTTACCAAGCATTCTACTCTCTCTTAGCAGTCAGGCTGGTAGAGTACTGAACTACTATTACCATCAATCACATGTTACAGGTTTCTTTGACATATGACTATAAATATGACAAGTCATTACAGATCTTTACAGCTGAAAGCTGTTAAAAAAAAAGATATCTTAGTGGTTAACTTGGAAAAACATTGAGTCTACTAAACATGAAGACCAGGAGTTTGAGAGGAGAGCATTATTAAAGTGGTTGTAAACCTCATGTACAGGTGAAACTCAAACAATTTGAATATCGTGCAAAAGTTCATTTATTTCAGTTATGCAACTTAAAAGGTAAAACTAATATATGAGATAGACTCATTACACATGCAAAGTAAGATAGTTCAAGCCGTCATTTGTCATAATTGTGATGATTATGGCTTACAGCTCATGAAAACCCCAAATCCACAATCTCAGAAAATGAGAATATTGTGAAAAGGTGCAATATTCTCAGCTCAAAGTGTCCCACTCTAATCAGCTAATTAAGCCATAACAGCTGCAAAGGGTTCCTGAGCCTTTAAATGTCTCTCAGTCTGGTTCAGTAGGAATCACAATAATGGGAAAGACTGCTGACCTGACAGTTGTGCAGAAAACCATCATTGACACCCTCCATAAGGAGGGAAAGCCTCAAAAGGTAATTGCAAAAGAAGTTGGATGTTCCCAAAGTGCTGTATCAAAGCACATTAATAGAAAGTTATGTGGAAGGGAAAAGTATGGAAGAAAAAGGTGCACAGGCAGCAGGGATGACCGCAGCCTGGGGAGGATTGTCAGGAAAAGGCCATTCAAAAGTGTTGGGGACTTTCACAAGGAGTGGACTGAGGCTGGAGTCAGTGCATCAAGAGCCACCACGCACATACGGATCCTGGACATGGGCTTCAAATGTTGTATCCCTCTTGTCAAGCCACTCCTGAACAACAAACAACATCAGAAGTGTCTTACCTGGGCTAAAGAAAAACAGACCTGGTCTGTTACTCAGTGGTCCAAAGTCCTCTTTTCTGATGAGAGCAACTTTTGCACCTCATTTGGAAACCAAGGACCCAGAGTATAGAGGAAGAATGGAGAGGCACACACTGCAAGATGCTTGAAGTCCAGTGTGAAGTTTCCACAGTCTGTGTTGATTTGGGGAGCCATGTCATCTGCTGGTGTTGGTCCACTGTGCTTCATTAAGTCCAGGGTCAACACAGCGGTCTACCAGGAGATTTTGGAGCACTTCATGCTTCCTTCCGCAGACGAGCTTTATGGGGATGCTGACTTCATTTTCCAGCAGGACTTGGCACCTGCCCACACTGCCAAAAGCACCAAAAACCTGGTTCAATGTCCGTGGGATTACTGTGCTTGATTGACCAGTAAACTCGTCTGACCTGAACCCCATAGAGAATCTATGGGACATTGCCAAGAGAAAGATGAGAGACATGAGACATGAGATGAGAGAGAGATTGAGGCATGCTGGTCTTCCATAACACCTCAGCAGTGCCACAGGCTGATAGCTTCCATGCTACGCCGCATTGAGGCAGTAATTGCTGCAAAAGGGGCCCAAACCAAGTACTGAGTACATATGCATGCTTATACTTTTCAGAGGTCCGATATTGTTCTATGTACAATCCTTGTTTTATTGATTTCATGTAATTTTCTAATTTTCTGAGATTGTGGATTTGGGGTTTTCACGAGCTGTAAGCCATAATCATCACAATTATGACAAATCACGGCTTGAACTATCTTGCTTTGCATGTAATGAGTCTATCTCATATATTAGTTTCACCTTTTAAGTTGCATTACTGAAATAAATGAACTTTTGCACGATAGTCTAATTTTTCGAGTTTTACCTGTGTGTATATATATATATATATATATATATATTTTTTTTTTTTTTTTTTTTTTTTTTTTTAAACAGAGGCCCTAGAGAACAAAATGGTGGGTGTTTACATTTTGTATATCACACAGTTTTTTCAAATGCAATTTTTTTTAAAAAAAATACACCTTTTAGAATTTTAATGCACAAAAACACAATATATTGCCCAATTGTTTGATAACAAAAATATAATATAAAAGATTATTTTACGCTGAGTAAAAGGATACCAAACATGACATGCTTTAATCTCTAGCCTACAGGGCACTTATACCCCCTTCCTGCCCAGGTCAATTTCCAGCTTTCAGCGCTGTCACACTTTGAATGACAATTGCGCGATCATGCAATACTGTACCCATATGAAATTTTTATCATTTTTTTGAGACACATAAAGCTTTCCTTTGGTGGTATTTAATCACCTCTGGATTTTTATTTTTTCTTAAACAAACCAAAAACCACTGAAAATTTTGAAAAAAAAAAAACGTTTTTTTTCTTAGTTTTTGTTATACAATTTTGTAAATAAGTGATATTTCTCCTTCGCTGATGTGCACTAATAAGGCTGCAGTGATGGGCACTGATAGGCTGCACTGATGGACACTGATAGGTGGCACTGATGGGCACTGATGAGGAGGCACTGGTAGGTTGCACTGATGGGCATTGACAGGCATCACTGATGGGCACTGAAAGCCTGCATTGATACATGACACTGATATATGGCACTGATAGGCGGCACTGATAGGCAGCACTGACTGGCACTGATAGGCGGTATTGACTGGCACTGTTAGGCAGCACTGACTGGCACTGATAGGCGGCACTGTCTGGCACTGATAGGCGGCACTGATGCGCACTGATAGGCGACACTGACTGGCACTGATTGGTGGCACTGATTGGCAGCACTGATAGGTGGCACTGATTGGCATTGATAGGTGGCACTGACTGGCACTGATGGGTAACATTGAAAGGCAGCTCAGATGGGCACTGATATGTGGCATTGATGTGGCACTGATGGGCACTGGCACGTGACACTGATGACAACTGACTGCTGGCACTGATGGACACTGACAGGTGGCACTTCTGGGGCCACATTGATCATCAGGGCACACTGATCATCAGTGCACTGATGATTAGTGTACATGTCCTCTCTGCGGAAAGCCGATTACCGGCTCTCCTCTCCTCTCAAGCTGTCAGCGTGACAGCTCGAGAGAAGAGAAATGCCGATAACCGGCATTTCCGTGTTTACATGTGATCAGCTGTGATTGAACACAGGTGATCACATGACATCTTCGGCTCTTTCCGTGATCCGCTGTGTCCGAGGGACACAGTGCACCGGCGATCGCCACGCGGCGCGCTCCCTGAGCCGCGCATGCGTGGTGAGAATGGAAGGACGTCATATGACGTCCTATCAGAACGAGAGAACCACCTTGCGCCCGTCATTGTACTATATGGCAGGCGGAAGGTGGTTAAAATTGTGCATGCCCGTGCAATGGCAACAAATGAAGTAAATATTTAATATCCATAGGCAATGCTTTAAAAGGTTTTACAGGTCATCACTTTAGATTTACACAGGAAGTCTAGTGCTAAAATGACTGCCCCTGATCTGATGTTCACGGTGATATCTCACATGCATGGTGCGATTTCTGTTTACATACCACCATGGGACCACCGCTTGCGTTTACCTTTGCACGCAAGCACTGGGATGGGGGGGGGTTGGGGTAAAAAAAATGTTTTATTATTTACTTTGCTTTTTTTAAATTATTTTTACAATTTTTTTGTTATCACAGGGATTTAAATATCCCCTGTGATAGCAATAGGCAGTGACAGGTACTCTTTTCTGAGAAATCTGGGGTCTTTTAGACTCTAGATCTCTCCTCTGCCCTTAAAGCATCTGATCACACCAAGATCGGTGTGATCAGATGCTTTCCCAATTTTAAAATGGCGTTGTTTATATCTGTCAAAAAGTAAATGATGAAATGCTCGTACCTTCCGGCCTCTTAGACCATAGAGATTTTCTCAGGCATTCCAGTCTCTGATCAGCTCTATTGTCAGCCAGCAGAACTGCTGGCTGCATTTTTGGGTTCCTCTGTGGGATGGGAGAGCCCAAAAATACATTGGAATGTGGCGGGAGGTGTGGGGAAGTCCCTTCCCGCTGCTTGTAAAAGTGATTCAGTGGCTAATTAGGGACTAGGATTGTTTTCAAATAAAAACTGCACCCCCCCAGCTGAAAAAAACGATACCAGGATGATGCCTGTAGCTGCAGGCATCATTCCAATATAACCACTTAAAGTATAGCACCGTACAAGTACATTGCTGGTCCTTGTTGGGCATATATGTAACAGCAGAGAACATGGGCATATGATGAATCAGGTCTGTTGACCAATATGACCACAATTCATTCTAATCTGTAATTCCCATGTTGAGGGTTAGGCCCAAAAAAGTTTTAAATTCAAAAACTGTTATAGGTTTCCATGTGAAATTTCTAACAAAAGCTGAATTTGGGTGGGTGTTGAAGTATTGTTGTGCATATAAATTGCTTTGGCCCACAATCAATTCATACAAATCTTCTGTGAAAAACAGCGGAGGGGATAAATGCTAGTGCTGATGGCGAGCAGGGTGATTCTGCTAATACTGTGTTTTTGGGGACACTATACAAAGGAGGCACTAGTAAAGTTCTATAAGGGATCAATATATTGATCCGTACAAACACTATACTAGTAATGACGGTGATCAGAGACCTATAGCATGAGTTTGATAGTGTGCAGACAATCTAACGCTAGCTGGCCCTGGCTGGGACGGGCGCTAACTGACCTTGATGTTATGTGATGTCTCTACTGGCAGTAATACAGTGATCAGAGAAAAATTCTATATACTGACACTGGCTGGGTAATGGGGTGATCAAAGAGGGTTAATAGGGGTGATCAAAGAGTTAAATGTGCTAATCTAACGTGTATGTAAAATGTAGTGCTTTTACTCGGTGCCGTGTTCTCTCTTCTCTCCCCAGACGGCATAGGGGGCAGTGGGCACGCATGCGCATGCACACCCAGAAATCAAAACATTGTTGGCTGGCAGCACTACTCTGGGGGGTAATTTTTTTTTTTGTTTGTTTTTGTTTGCATTGCATAAGCAATGGGGATCATTGCTCTGCACTGCTAAACTTTCTTTGAACTGTAATGAATGTGTTAAGTTCATAAAAGTTCAATATAATAGTGATCTATGATTGGCTCCAGTTGGTCACAGGGTACAGGGTACTGTGATTGGCTCCATGTGAGAGCTGCGGACCAATCACAGCTCTCCAGGAACAGAAGCAACTCTTTTATGAATCAGATTGATTCATAAAGGTTTTTCATCATTGTGATCATGTGATCACACAGCGATCACATGATCACCAGGTCCTGGACACGCAGCGCCCCCCTGTGTTGGCAAAAGACCAGTGATGTACAGGTACGTCACTGGTCCTGTAGAGATGTAGAGAGCATGGGTTTTCCATATTTCCATATCCCCAAACAAAGGTTGCCAGGATTGTGAGGGGACCTAGGGGAGGAAGAAATATGAATTTATTACAGATTTTTGTTTGTTTGGTTGTTTTTTGGTATATGTGGCAAATTGTGGTAATTTATGGAAGTGATGCAATTTTCTAATTTTGTCAGGAGCCACTGGATAACTTGTTTATTAGAGAGAATGATCACCAGGAGCTAAGATTTGTCTAGTGTGGAACATCTCAGCGGTCCTTTCACACAGGCGTTCCATTTTTTTTTCATTAGTTCAGTCATGTTTTTTTCAAAGAAAAATAGATCAGTTTTTCATCAGTTTGCATACGTTTTTACATCAGATTTTTACATCCACTACTATACAAAAACGGACTGTTTATCCGTTTACATCCGTTTTTCATTTTTTCTGTTTTTAACGGAACAAAAATAGGGCTTTGATCCATTCCAAAAACCAGATGTTGACGGATGTGGATGTAAACTGATGTAAACGGATGATCAGCCATTTACATCTGTTTTTCCATAGAGATGCATTGAAATCCATTTTTCATCCATCAACGGATGGATGAAGAACAGACAAACGGAACGCCTGTGTGAAAGGGACCAATGATTCTCAGGTAGGGGATTAGCTATCCCGGCCTGGCACTACAGATAACCTATTATACACTCACTAGTGATTTTTATCTTATTGGTTTTAGGACAGGAGCTGTAGTTTGGATTACTTGGCACTTCATAGTTTCTGATCCAGTAAATCATAGAAGTGTAGACAACCCCCAACATTATATGCATTAACAAACGGATTTTGCTTACATCACTCTATGCTGGTAGGTGGTATTAAAGTTTCTGTAAAAATCCAAATTCCTTACTTACCACCAATGATGCTTTAGTGCCCTGTTCCACATCTGGGATTAGTCAGCTAGTGGAAAGCCCTGGAATCTTGTTTGTTAAACACTGTATGATAATAAATGATTGTATTCAATATGTCTAGAGAATGAAATGCCAGCTAATCAGCTGATAATAGGGCAGACAGCAGAGAGGAAATGCATCACAGTACACTTCAGGGAGACACAATGCTGGGCTCTGTTTGCCTCCTACTCGTTGGCTGTGTAATGCGGGCAATTCATTTTGTATCGCACCACTTTATGAATGAATGAAATATGTCGACATTCCATTGAGCACTACACAAGTAGTTGTCCCTGCTGCAGAAAGTGAAAGTGGCTGCTGGCACACTGTATGCCAGCAATACATATGAAACTCCTGTTTGTTTGTCCATATAGGAAATATAACTATATAAAAGTTATATAAAATGTTTTATAAAAGCTCTGAAAATGCAAATTTGATGACATGAGTGATTTTAAGAACTGAAATAAAGGCTGTAGGAAAATGAAGGCTTTGTTAGTTACATTTCGCTACCGTTCTATTTCAGTCTGGAGATGAATGACAGTCAGATGCCAATTGGCCCATATGGGCAATAGCTCTGCTTTTAATTGCTTGTAGATTACCCAATTATTTAAAGTGGTCAGACCTACAGTATATGGTATTGGCCTCCATTATTATAATAACTTATTGATCATCCAAGAGACAGAATTTTCTCATTGCACATGGAACCCCTTGCAACCTCTGATGGAACCCTAGGGCTCCACGGAACCCTAGCTGAGAAAGACTGGTTTAAACCAGAAGTGGCAATGCAGATGCAACTCTTATCTGATTTTAGCCTTGCCTGTAATGGTCTCTTTAGGGGTGGTAACTACTGCTTATGAACATTGCATACATGCATTTTATGCAGCTAGTTAGAAAATTCCTTCCCTGAAGCCTTCCTTGTCTATAAGAAAACGTAATGATGGTGTAACCTGCCCCTGATGCCCAATAGCAGCAATATAATTAGGGTTAGAGTATTTTATATAAGAATATATCTGTATATACAACACAAACAATATACCAAGGCACTACATCTTATTAGCCAGTGGTGACTGAAGTAGTCCCAATAGTCCTGCTGCTGTAGAAATCCAGGGAGAAGTCAAAATATAACACTCAAAACACAGCGCAAGGACCTTGAGAGTATATATGGTGTTCTAATAGGCAGCCCAGATGATGGTATTGATGCCTTTATAAATTACTTGACTTTGAGTGTGGCTAATTCCAATGCCACACATGATGCTCAACTACATGCCCAAGCAATAAACTTTATGGTGGTGTTGACTTAATGGGGTTTATTTACTAAAGCTGGAGAGTCCAAAATCAGACTCCCTTCTTAGAAACCAATCAGCTTCTAACCTCAGCTTGTTCAATGAAACCTGGAAGCTGATTGGTTTCTATGCAGAAGTGAGTCTGATTTTGCACTCTCCAGCTTTAGTAAATAAACCCCAATGTGTCCAGATGCCAATCTCATTAAAAATCCAATGGACAATTTACTGGATTGTTGCTTTGATGCTGCCACTTGGAGGAGGCACAGCATAGGACTGGTGTATTCTCTACTGTGGGCTATGGGCATTATCCTGGAGGAGTCTGTATCACAATTGGACACAGACCTCCTTTAGAGAATT